GTCTTCCTAACCAATAGAACAGCGCCACATAACTTTCCTAGTAACATGAACATTCAGTTAAAAGGGGGGCCTATAATGCTAAATTTATGATTCCTTAGTTTATACATCAGGGTTATGTATAAATCAGATCCGACAGGTAGTAGGATGTGTGCTTTCCGCTTCATTTCCTGTTCCTTGTTTGGTTGTGGGCTTAGAGCAGATTCACCCATTCTATTATATATTCGATCTTAGTTAAATATATAACCCGTATACACTAAGTAATCATAGGGAGTAACAGGTATCGGTCAGGTCATAGCATACAAATTCAGTATACCACTTTCTAGTACAAAAACATACTTTTCGGATAGATCATTAAGTATGTGAAACTAGAAACTTATCTATAAAAGGTTTGATACGCATTATTAAACCTGTATAACTTAAAGGACCTTTAATGGTTAATCCTATAATACCTTAGTTTATACATCAGGGTTATATATAATTAATATCCGATAGGTAGTTGAATGTGTGTTTTCCGCCTTACTTCCTGTTCCTTGTTTGGTTGTGGGCTTAGGGCAGATTCACACAATTAACTGTCCGTTCGATATTAGATTATATATAACTAGTATAAACTAAGTGATTATAGAAGGAACTATTGTGGTTACCATTTTACTAAAGGAAATATATGATTTTCTTAAAGAATGTTTTCATCAATTATAAAAGAACTATTATAGTTGACTCCGTAAGTACCAAATGAATACGCCAGGGTTATATACAATGAAGATCTAACAAACAATGGGATGTGTGACTTCCGCCTCATTTTCTGTTCCTTGTTTGGTTGTGGGCTTAGGGCAGATTCACACAATCGATTGTCTGTTTACTCTAAATTGTATGTAACTTGTATTCATTTAGTACTCATAGAAGGAATTGTAGAGTCATTTTTACTTATCATTCATCACATCAGAAAATATAGGATTTTCTGGAGGAACAGGCGAACTTTTCTAAAGAACGTATAGTTTACTTTTCATAACTAAAATACTTATGAACTCACCATCTTAAATGTTGATCTACTCTTTCAAAATAACTTGTATTCTCAGGAATCTAGTAGACAGGTATGCGCTCAGGGATTCAGAAGATGGAGCATAGTAGCTTCATGTCTTGTTTTGTTATTTACTTTTGGAGTCAATCTTTTTTGAATCACATACTTTGTAAACACTTTAATATAAATTCAATGGTTGTTTGTTACTTTGATTACTATGATGCATGTGTTGTGATACTAAGCATGACGTCCTCCGCCCCCGAACATTTCTGTCGTTCCGGTTTGGGGGTGTGATAGTTTTGGTATTAGGTGTTACAATCTTCCAGTGAGATTTTAGATTTTAAAAGTTTTTTTTCAATTTTTTTTTAAATTTTCGAAAAGAGAAAGATGAATTATCCTTTTTATTTTTCAAGCTGATTGATGAGTCATTCGGTTGTCTTTTAGCATGAGCTGGTGCTGGTGAGTTAGCCAACTAGTCATCAGCTTGACAATTATAACACCAGGCTTTTCATGAACAATATTTAAAACATAATGTACTTCACTATTTAATATAGGAAACTGGGTTTTGATCTTAACATCAACGATATGTATTCTTGGAACTGACTTTTGACAGACTAATCATCATAGGTTATTGAGCTAACAACTTTGATTTTTCCATGCTTATTTTGACAGCGTTGTATTATTATGAGTTATCCATCTTTTGACTATCTGGATTTAACAAACCTTGGTTAATAATCTTAATCTCTTTTGAGTTCGAAAGTTGGTTTCGTTCTTTATTGATTCAAATTTTTCAACAATTACTTGATATTGCTCACCAAGGATCTTATTCATTTGAAAAGAACTACAAGAACAAGGGTTGTCATAGACTAACATAATCAGTCTCTGGTGGTCAATAGAATCAGGGACTGTTTTAGCTAGTCTCTGAGACCTAGTCCCATATAGTCAACTTTTTATGTATATGGGACTGAAAATCGGTCTCTAATACATCAAAGTATCAAAGATAGAAAATAAGTATTTTATAATATATCATTCAGTCTCTAATTTTTTTTCTTCAAATCCCCAATATGATGTCATGTTAGTCACTAATATTATCGTTTAGTGACTGAATATCAGCCCTTTATAATATATCATTCAATCTATGATATGTTTCATGTAAATCTCTATTCTATGTCATATTAGTCATTGATACAATCTTTCAAGGAATAAATATTAGTCTTTGATACTATCATGTTCAGTCTCCAATATCTTTCCTTCAAGGCCTCAATTATATCATATTAGTCTGTGATACTATCATTTTAGGACTGAATATCAGTCTTCTAAACTATCTAATGTAGTCTCTAATGTTATCATTCAGTGATTGAATATCAGTCTTAGATACATTTTTATCTAGTCCCTAACCTGATTTTTCAAGGACTGAGTACCAGTCTCAGATACAATGTGATTTAGTCTCTAACCTAATTTTTCAGGGACTGGATATTAGTCTTGGATATAATTTCCTATAATCTCTAACATGCGTTTTCAGTGACTAAATATTTGTCTTGGATATAATGTCATTCAGTCCCTAATAGGATTTTTTAGTGACAGAATATCAGACTAAGATTTAATGTCATTTGGTCCCTAGCATGCTTTTTTAATGAATGAATATTAGTCTCGGATGCAATGTCATCCAATCCTTGAAACATTTTTTCATATTTCTCCTCACCTTGTTTTAGTTTCTCTTTGTTTTCTTGAAGCTCCTCCTCGAATGTAGCAACTTGACTTTTCACACTACAACGGTTGGACTCAAACAAGAGTGGCGCAATAGAGTTAAAACCTAACCTTCTAAAATTATTTAGTTCCCGTAATATGTAACTTAGCATATTCGCTTACTAGTTAGCTGAAGCTAGTGAGAACTCCTAAAAAGCACAAAGCAAGCAGCATGCGAGCATCAAGTAATCAGAACCAAGCATCACCTAATCTGGCCATCTTATCACTGACTGATCAGTACTAGCATGCAAGTCTACAAGATCATTCAATAGGCATACAAAGACATATCTCCTAGCATTCTATCATGCAAATATTAAGCAGACCCTTAACCCTAACTTGCATGTGATTCACAGATTCACAGATTCACAGATCAAATCATATCAGATAACATGTGTGTGTATTTTGGGAAAACTTACTTGAGCTCGGTCGATTGCATGCACCACACCATTTCTTGTCTTAGAAAACCCTCTTCTTAAAAATACATTTCTTTTTGAAAAAAAAAACTTTACCAAATCCTCAGTTTGAATTCAGACACACCCGAGAGTATGTCTGAATCCCTCAAACCAAGGCTCTGATACCAACTTGTAACTTCCCAAAAATAAGACCCAAAAATTTCATATTAATTTAATAAAAACATTAATCCAAACATTGTCATACAACCTCAAAAGGTTAAAGTATGTCAATACATCAGAATATATCAGAGTAAATCTCAAAGTGCGGAAAAAGGCGGTGTATGCTCTACAATCATCTCGGACTCTTCCCTTTCGATCTGAAAGTACCTGAAACATAAACTGAAAACCTTAAGCATAAAGCTTAGTAAGTTCCCCAAAATACCACATACCATACATACATAAATAAACACATAATGGGCCCCACCCGGCATCGAGCCCCGCTCGGTATACAGATATGTCAATCATCAGGCCCCGTCTGGATTCGGTCCCCGCCCGGTATACATATAAACATATAATCATATAATCAAACAAACACATGCGATAATCAAAAGATAATAGCATACAGTACAGTCATCGGGCCCCGCCCGGCATCGAGCTTCGCCCGGTAAACATATTCACATAACACATGCACGAGTCACGCAGACATCTAGCATACTAAAATATCAAACCATGGGCCGGCATTGGTTCCTTCGACCCGCTAAACACAGTGAGCCCAATTTTCCAAATTGGGCCCAAACCCCTTCATGGGCCTTCAACCAAAGGTCCAATAAAATATCCTTAGCCCAAAAAAATATTCTGATGGCCCAACAAGTCCATAATCATCTAGAGTCCAAACATGTCCCAACACCGTGAGCCCAACACATCGAATCTGCTGAGTACGCGGTGCGTACTTAGCTCGTACACTAAGCGTACTTGCTTTGGGGCTTGTACGCGCGGCGTACTAGCTTGTACGCCCAGTGTACTCCCATCTCAGCCAACTTTCTTCATTCAGCACCTATTTGGTTAAGACCTCGACCCAAATCTTAGATCTGACATCCCTAAGGTGGTTTATCACATAAAGTTGACAACTTTACGTGCATGCATGGCTTAATGGGGCTCTAAAGCTTAAAAGAGCTTAATAAATGACTTAATACATGCATGAGACCAAAAACCACCATAAAGTTTGCACCTTTATGCTTAAGAAACCCTTAATATGCCCATATCTACAAGGATAAGCTCCATAAACGACCTTAGCTCACAAAACCAACCAAAAAGGGACCAAAGAAGCCAAAAGCATGCCAAGGAATAGATCTATGAAATGAGATGACAAGCTTTGAACTTTATACCTCAAAAACCACGAAATGAAGGTGCTAAAGTTGGATCTCTAAGCTCCCCTCCAAAGAATGAATCTTCAAGCTTCTTTTTCTACCACTTCAAGGTGCACAAAACCCTCAAATGATCAAAACAATAGCTCAAAAGCACCACACAAAGGCAAGGGACGAACTAGGGTTTTCAAAGGGTGGAGGCTGGTCTAAAATGTCCAGGAGGTGAGTTAATGAGGATTAAATAGGGCACAAACCCTAAAAAATTAGGGTTTTCCCCTGGCCAGCGTACGCCCAGCGTACGAGGCCGATACTCGCGATCATAAACCAGCTAGTACGCCCCGCGTACTAACCACAAGGACCAAAATGCAATGTTTTACAATAAAGGGGGGGGGGGTGGGGGGTTAAATGGAAACATACCAAATTTAAGTGTTACACCTTGACATCTTTCTTATCATCTACGACTCTTGCTGGCCTAGCAATTTTTCATCCAAGGAACGGATCATCAGATGGTTGTATTTGTATCACTTCATCATCAGGTTCACGCTCTACAAACTCATTATATGAAAGTTCAGAGTCTATATCATCATCATCATCATCATCAGTATGACCATCTGAGCATCCATTGTCAGCTATCTCTTCTACAATCCACTCCATAACTAGTACCTGACTATGATCAATGTACATATTCATTCTTCCACCATTCTCATATCCAGCATCAAGAAAACATACATAATCATTTTTATCTTCAAATTCTCTCAACCCATCTCTTAGTAAACGTTGTAGAACACAATAGTAGACAGTGATTCTACCATCATTTACCAACTTCTTTACATAAGAGATGAACTCCGAGAAGGTCATGCTTCTAAAGTCGACATTGCTAACAACCAATTTCACGGGATTGAAATACACAATGGGTTTGGGGACAAAAGAGCATGTATGATTCACTTCGATTGTCAAGCACTCCTCCTTCGATGTTGAATCCATGGTGATTTCTGTGGAATTGACGAAGGAAAAAACCCTAGTTCTTTCAATTTGGGTGAAACGATGAAGGGGAAGGCATACAATACCTGTTATTATTATTATTAAATAATAGACAAAACTTCAAAAATGGTCCCTGTGGTTTTCGAAAATATCAAGTTTAATCCCTAAGTTCAAAAAACCTCACAGATGGTCCCTGTGGTTTCAAAACTTTTAATATTTGGTCCTTCCGGCTCACTCCGTTAGCATTTCACCGTTAAGTAAGGGGCATTTTTGTCATTTCACTACCCAGGGACCATTTATGAGGTTTTCAATTACTTTTTAAAAAAATAATAATAATAAATGAATAAAATTTAATATGCAAAGGGTCTCACCCTCACCATTTAAAATACGAGAGAGAGAGAGAGAGAGAGAGAGAGAGAGAGAGAGAGAGAGAGAGACCCTTTGCATATTAAATTTTATTCATTTATTATTATTATTTTTTAAAAAAGTAATAGAAAACCTCATAAATGATCCCTGGGTAGTGAAATGACAAAAATGCCCCTTACTTAACAGTGAAATGCTAACGGAGTGAGCCGGAAGGACTAAATGTTAAAAGTTTTGAAACCACAGGGACCATCTGTGAGGTTTTTTGAACTTAGGGATTAAACTTGATATTTTCGAAAACCACAGGGACCATTTTTGAAGTTTTGTCTAAATAATAATAATAATAATAATAATAAAACGGCTGACCTGATTGTGACCTACAATACCCGGTAACATGGTATGTTTTATACAAAAACAAGAAGAATGGTCTTTTTGTACAATTTTGATACTTAGTTACCCTTTTAAGTCATTTTCCCTTAATGTTATTGAGGGGAAAAGGCAAGTTACCCTTTTAAGTCATTTTCCCTTAATGTTATTGAGGGGAAAAGGCAAGTCGTGAATCGAATGGTTATCAAGCTTATTTGGTGGAAATCATTGAATCTGTGTCATATGAATATCCTTCACGAAGAATAAATTGTACTCAGAGACTTTTATCAGTTGTGTTGTGTCCGAAAAGGCTAGCTCGGTAGGTCATAGGTTTATGACATCATTTTTTTATAAAAGATATGGCAGCTATTCATATTACAAATTTTAAAACATGAGAAAAGTTTTATATAGCATGCTTATGATTTCATGATATCAAGTTTTTTTTATATATATTTCTTTCTATAAAGATGGAATTTTAAAAACAAAAGTAATATATGATGATAAATTTATAAAGCTAATATGTGAAACGGTACCACAATTCGTCTCAGTATAATCAATGGTATATGGTCATATAATGTATTTAAAACATTATAGGTGCATTTGGTTGTAGAAAATTGTTTGTAATTTTTCTAAAAAACATTTAAAAAATAAAGTTTAGTTTTCATTTTTAGTTTTTTAACAAATTTTTAGAAAACATGTCTGCTTAAAACTGATGGAGTTTTCATTTTCCATATTTCAAATTTAAAAAGCTTTGGAAAACTGCAAAAATCATTTTTCTAGTTTGCATATAATTTGGAAACAGAAACTTTTTTATTTTCTTGAAAAAAATTTCAAAACTAAATCAACTAAACGCATTTTCAAACTTTTCACTTTCATTTGAAAATTTTCATGTAAACCTAGAAAATTTTCCACAAACAAACACACCCTATATATTTCTAAAACAATAATCTTGCATATAGTAAAAAACAAAATAAACAAATTTAAAGAATTTTGAATCCTCTAATTCATGTGACAAGAAAAAAAAAATTATACAAAGAGTAGTATACAAGTTTAGAATAATTGCATACTATCAATGAACAAAAAAATACACAACAATGGAGAATTGCTCCATCAACTTCTCAAGAATATGACAATTTTTTTTATAAATTAAAACCAAAAGAAAAAAAGAATATGATATCATCATCATCATCATCATCTATCTTTGAGGTGGGTGGTTCATTTCTATTTCTTCTATTCCTCCATTTCTTGTTAACACCATTGAATTCCTAAACTTTTCTGCTTCTCTTGCTATTTGAGTGTCTGAAGGCTTACAATGTTGCATAAACATCTTTACAACAAACCGAGGAATCATCGATGCTATCACAATCCCAAACAGACAAATCCAAAATAATCCACTTCTTGCTAAATTAAAAATCGCCCTGCAGTTTTACAAAATTAAAATTTATTATTACTATTAACTTTGTAGATTTATAAAAATCAATGAAAAGTAGGATGCTATTTTACATACCAGTATCCAGGCAAAACGGGAATAGCATCAATAACAACAACACAAACACAAGTAGCAAAAATGGAGCCCCAAATGGAAGCATGACTAATCCAACTCCACCTTATCACATCCATAGCCAAATGTATATTCACTATGAACACAACTGCAAGTGTCCACAAATCTCCTAAACTTGATCCATCAATATCGGTTTTCCAATACGCGAATACAGGGGCAAAAAAGACAATTACACTTTGCCATAATGTGTCGGCCATTGTCACCCAAAACAACTTTGAATTGTAGCTTTCTTGTCTTTGTCCTGCCCCATAAAGTTGAGGGTATGCCATGAGAGATTTTCTTCCAAGATCTTTATCAAGAATTCCAATCACAATTGTGGGAATTGCAGTGTAGATTACTGAGTATAAGACACTGCTCCATTCTGTTATGGCTGTTGTTAGAGTGAACCCCGTGAAAAGGACATACCTGGAATCAAGTTTTGTTAATAATGCCAAAAATAGCAACCTACTTTGGTTGAATGTTGTAATTGGGTAGATTTTTCAAAGTACAAGGGCTTAACAAGAAAATATTGGAAGTATGAGGATGTGAATTGTAATAAGGAAGGAATACAAGGATGGATAAATGAAAGTATGTTTATATCAGAATGGATATTTATCATGTCTAATAATATACCAATATTAGTTTTTGGGTTAAATGCATGAAAAAAAGCAACATACTTTTCTTTGATTTGTTTAGGGAAAACTCCATAAAAGTCCTTATATTTTGGCCTCATAATCGATTTTGTCCTTAAATGTTTTTTTTATTCAATTAAGTCCCAAAAACCGGCGATTGTATTCATTTTGACCCTAGTTTTACCCGGTCAACTAGTCATCCCACTTTCAAAATTTACACTTTTAGCCCAGATTTTAAATTTTATTACAAATTTGGTCCAAAATTTACACTTTTGGCCCAGATTTCAAAATTTTGTTATGAAGTCATCCTAAATTTAGTTTTTTTACATCTTTTTTTTTTTCAAAATTTAGTATAAAATTATATTTATACAAAAAAAAAAAACATTTTCACATGAAAAAACCTTCTTTTTTCTATATAAAAACATTTTTGTATGCAAAATACCTATTTATAAAAATATTTTTTTATTTTAAATACCTATTTATAAAAACTTAGCTATTTTAAATACCTATATGAACGCTATTTTTTTTTTTAAAAAAAAATATTTGTATGCAGCATACTTTTCTTTAATTTGTTTATTATAGCATCCTAGTTTCATTTCTTCAAATTACAACATTGTAGTTTTGAGAATTCTACACAATTATAACAATGTCATTATCCGGCTACAAACCAATTTTCACTATTCTAATTGGTTAGATTATCAAAGTATAATATAATATCCCAATAAAAAAAATTAGAAGTACAATTTCTTGATAAGAATAAACATGAAATTACAATGTTGTAATAGGAAGAAATGAAAGTAGGATGGTGTATTGCATTTAGCATTCTAAAAAGATAATGAAATAAAGGTAGTAGAGTAGAGAGAGTTACCAGAATAAGACAAGGACAAAAAGGGCATTTCTGTAAAAATTATAGAGGATCATATAGGACATTCTTTGGTAATTCCAATGACCATGGACTAATAAAAGTGGGACCAAGAACCGAAATTGGCCCATTGCAAAATCTGATGCCATGACAGCTTGGCGACCCTCTTGCCCACTAATTCCAACTCCTACATCAGCCATTTGAATCATTGACACATCATTCGCACCTGAAAAAAAAGAAAAAAAGAAAAAATTGTTTATTTTATTATACCATCCTACTTTCATTTCCTCTTATTACATCATTCAAATACAAACCAATTTTCACTGATATAATTCGGTTGATTTTTCATAAAACAATGCCTTAGTAAGAAGAAGAAGAATTATAGTACAATGTTGTAATAGAAAGAAATGGAAGTAAAATGATGTAATACACAATTAAAGTCGAATTGTTCAACTCCCAACAACAAATTTAAGATGACTCTCTACATTTTTATAAAACCATTTTGATTTTAACAATTTTGACGCATAAAGATGTGATGCTTAGTTACTTACCATCTCCAATGGCAAGTGTCATGTCATCTGTCCTATTTTTTATGAGTGCAACAATCCCAGCTTTCTGTAGTGGGGCCACTCGACAACATAGTACCACAGCACAATTACTGGATAACTCAAATAGCTGGAACACAAAAATTTTAGAGGTCATGGTGCTGACATGGCGATAGCAATAGCATCCATGTGGATGCCACATCAGCATGTCTAGTTTTTAAATTGTATATATAATATTCACCTGTTCTTCAAGTTCAGAGTCAAGAATATAAACAAGGCTAGTTCCATCAATAATTAGGGCAACAGAACTCGCATCATTTTTTCTACACATAATCAAAGCATCTTCCAAACTCTTTCTACAAGAAACTTTCGAATTGTTATTAATAACAATCTGAATCATCTCACTTGTCAAAAGCTTAGACGAATAGCCAATAGAAATTGCAGTTTCTTGTTTGTCACCCGTTAAAACCCAAACTTTCATATTCGCCATTCTTAAAGACTCGATAGCTTCAGGAACACCCTTTTGCAATCGATCTTCAATGGCAGAAGCACCCAATAACGAAAGATTGTTTTCTAAATTTATGGCGACTTTTCTTAGTAATCCTGCTCTACCCATTAAAGCAGTACTTGCGATCTCATACGTTGATTGCCATTGGTCGAATTCAGGGATTGTGAGTCCACGTGTTGCTATAACT